TGGTATATGTGGTGCGCCGTAGATTCGTATCCTTCTCTGACCTGGCTCCGCTGCGAGCAAGGGTGTGGTAACATCCATCTGATCGCCGTCTTTAGGCTCAACCTTGATCGTTAGGCTCAACCGTCGGTGCTGCAGGTAGTGTACCCTCTTCCAATTGAGCCTTCCAGTCCTGTGCTGTTCGGACAGCGATGGTCGTGTCCTTGGATCCAAAAAAGTATCATGGTTCCCACTGATCACTACAATCTCTCTATGCGGGAGCGAGCTCAGCCAGTCTATTTGTTTCTGTATTTCCGCCACACTTCCGTCATTCGTCATGTCACCAGCGTGGATGAGCAGATCGCCTTCCGGTACATCTTCCGGTATCAAATTGTGCGTATCGGATATGCAAACGACTCGAATGGGTGGGCGTTGTAAAGGCTTCGGGGGTGAGCGCAGACATGTGATAAGGTGGTATGCATGGTAGAGGAGTAGCTTGACGGGAGCTCGGAAGAAGAGGGCGATGAAGGGCGTTGGCTCGAACTCTGATGCGGGGCGATACCAAGGATTCAGATGCTCGAGAAGCATTTCCGGGGGGCCAGATGCCCGTCGTAGCTCTGGTGACCGGTTCGCCTGTCACTGGTTTGGTGGTGAGCAAATGGGTGGCAGCATGCGACGCGTCGACCAGGGTCCATGTTCGCGTGGCTTCTTAGCGTGGCTGTGCGGGCCGCGGCTTTCCTCGAGGCATACACCCGTCAGCCTATCACCTCCATGTGATGTCTCTGCTGCACCTAACGAGTTCAGCAGAACGCTCCTCAGCCACGATTGCAGCCTTCGTCATGTATCGCAAAACGCCATCGCGCTGTTACCCTTACCGGACCCCACTATTCCAGCCTCCTGGATTGGTCTGGGATGTGATGACGGCCTTCAGCTCGAGGCCACGGGGCAGTTTTGGTTACAGATCAGGTTGCGCGCCTGCATCGCGGCGTGCTATGCTCTCATGTCGCCATGAAGGTTTGATAGAAATATCAGCCTTCTCGCTGCTTACCCTTGAGTAATTCTCCAAGTCTGCGTTCATCTCATTGCTTTCCTCTCTCGGCGAGACCGTCCAGCTGTCCCTTTCAAAGGTTACTCCGAACAGCCTTAGAGATGGCAGAGTTGGCTATCGGAGGTGTATCCTTCTTCTTCCAGGTGTTTGCGGGATGTATCCAAGGTTGGCATACCCATTGACCTACGCCTGAAGATGCATTAATAATCTTGATTAGGTTACGAACTGATCGCAGATGCTTGTCATCTTCGCAAAGACTGCCAAGCGCTTCTGGTCAACTTCAAAGTGGAAGAACATCGACTTCTCAACTGGGCAAAGCTTGTACAGCTCGATTATCGAGACGACAAACTGGTCCTGAATCACATGTCGAAAGGCCTCATTATCAACATCATGGAGCAACAACAAAAGCTTCTCTTCTCATTCGGCCGACTAGACAAGAAGTACGAGAGACTTACAGAGCCTCTCCTAGAGGAAGCAGCTGAAGCATTCGTCCTACAAAATTTTGATCGCCTGATCGAAGACGATACCAACGGCTCTGGTGAAGGGAATGCAAGGTCTGTCCGGTTCCCGCCTACTGACGAGCTGGTAAAAATGTCCCTCAGATTCGTGCAACAGTTCAAGGATGTACCAAAGAGGCTCAAATGGGCTGTATTCGATCACCTCAAGATGGAGAAGCTAATCGCGAGACTGGCCGACTTCAACGACAAGATGCACGAAGCGCTCGACAAAGCTCAAGTAGACCTGCTCATCGATATGCAGACGCGTACAAATGACCAAATAGTCTTGCTGAACCGGACGATGTCGCACATGGTTCAAATCTACCAATCCCAGCAATCAGAACAGATTGGCTTTCGAAGGGCTTATTCACTGATAGAGATGGAAGATTCCGAATATGATGGTATGATGGACAGTGGTGCCGTCGCAGCTCGTGGTGCCGCCCGTCAGCCTCTTGCTGCTTTAGCCCAGCAAAACTTCATTCACCTTGCTATCGAAGACTCTCACGAAGATCTTACCACAAGCTATGCAGAAAAGATCAACATGCCAGATCTTCCAAAGGACATTCGTGATACCCAGCTCCAGTACATGGACATACGCCCTAAGCTAGGCAGTCAATTTCCCCTGGAGATTGATGAAGGTGTACGCACGGAGGCATACTACAAGAACACACCTGTGTGGATAGAATGGAAATCACCCGATACCACGGGTCCCATGCAGCAGGATGGTGCTGTGGACGCCAAGATCCACGCTCGCGTCAAGAAACTGGCCGCCTTACTCAGTAAGCACAACAGAACAGTCCGGTTTAGAGCACCCTTCTGCCGAGGCTACTTTATCGATGAGGACGAAGGACGTTTCGGGCTAGTCTTCGAAAAGCCCGCGTCCGTCCCGGCGGACACTGAACCGACATCTCTACACGCACTCATCGCAAACCCCGAGAACGATATACCTTCGCTCACTGACCGTATCATACTCATGAGACTTCTTACCGAGACAGTTGAACGTCTCCATGCGGTGGATTGGCTTCACAAGGGCCTACGCTCGGCCAACATCCTCCTCTTTCCGAAGCAGGGAGGAAGAGTTGAAAACGGTCAGGTCACGCACGGCGAGGTCAACTACGCGGATCCTCTGATTAGTGGTTTCGACTATTCTCGTCCGGCAACCAGCGATGATATGACTGAACGGCCTCTTGACAATCCCGCTGCAGACATCTATCGTCATCCCTCCGTACAGCATAGAGGGAATCGCGAAGATGCCGGCGGTCGTGAGTCTTACAAGAAGTCGTTCGACCTCTACTCGCTCGGTATCGTGCTACTGGAGATCGCTTACTGGAAAACCATTGACCAAATTCTGTCTATCGATCTTGAAAAGGCGCGGCCTAAGCATACGTGGGCTGTGGAGAAGAGGTTGCTACAGACGGAACCACAACATCTACGGGGCGTAAAGAGTTATCTAGGTAACACGGTGGAGGGTGTTATCAGGGCTTGTTTGCAAGGGCCTACCGCGTTTGATCTCGATAAAAATGCAGATGAGAAGAGAGAGGTTGTTGCTGCCCAGCTACAGGAGGCATTTGGAGAAAAGGTCGTGAAGAAGTTGGCATGTATGAAGGGTCTTTAGGCATTTTCTCTCTCATTTATCGCTAGGACACCATGAACATATCTGACCCATGCTTGTTACGTCTATGCCCCATCACGAAATGATGTGAATGCGCTTGATCATACATGTGCTCCGGTGTGCTTGTCTCTTGTCGCTGTTGTAGTCAACATGTGAAGCTAGACTGGCATGTTCGGCGGCGAGATGCACAGTACTCTTTGGGACCTGCAACAAACAAGGTTCTGGTTTAGGGGTTGAGAGTTGTCATTGTATCGAAGAGGATCCTCCAATGCCGCTATTTCATCCATCGTCAATCATATATATGTCCATGAGCAGTCGCCCATGATGCCATCCATCGCTCCGCAACTCGGTTATGCAAATATCCCTAAAGTACAAACAGGCTCGAATCGAAGGCGCTTTACATTCCGTGCTTCTTCAGGTACTCGCCGAGCTCAACTACGGAGTTGAAGGCGTTGGGAGTCTGGATGGTGTCGGGGTGGTGGGCGATGATGACGGCTTGGGTAGTCTTGAAAGCGACGATGCCCTCTTTTCCCTGGTGTTGTTGTCAGTGCTTGAACACTTGATGGTGGGCAATGTCTGGCACCTACCTTCTTCGCCTTGAGCGAGTCGTCGCTTGCCTCGATGGTCATGTACTTGACACCGTTGACCTTGACACCTTCCGAGATGACCTTCTTGGGCTCTGACTTGTCGTTGAAGGATTTGGCGATGGCGGCCCTTTCCTCAGCGGACAGCTGTAATTGGTCAACACCAATCTATTGTTTATGCGCCACCGGAGCTTTGATTCTGGAGTGCTCGCTGTGTCCGGCGCGTATTGTATCGGACGACTTACCGAGAAGTCGGCGGAGGCGGCCCAGGCAGTCGAGCCCTCGATGTCGCAGATGAGGGCCTTGTCGATGTTACCAGTGCCGACGAGGCTGTGATAACGTTAGTCATGGACAGGTGATAGATTGGGAGGCTGGATGTACCTGGTGTCAACGTATTCTGCGCCCAAAGTTAGCCAGGACCTTCCAAACTCGACGCCTCGAGCTGCTCACCTTGCCAGGACATGGTTGCGGAGGGTTGATGTGCGTGCTGTGGAAGCTTGTGGTGATGGGAAGATGAAGAGGGATGCGGCGAAGTAGACGCAGGTACTTTTGACTAAGCAGAGCAAGAGGGTAAATGCGGTGAGGGTGTTCAAGGCTGCGTTGTTGGGCTAAAGTTGCGATTTGATAGTGGGGCTGTTTTGACCCCGCCTCTCGCGATGAAATCTAACGGACGCAATTCACTCCTCCAATTCCAACACGCAAACCTCTGAGCTTCTAATCTGACGACCCGTCACGCGTCCTACTTGCGCTATCATGCAGCTGCTTACTTGGTGGGGGTCACCACTGCCCTCGATGCCTAACGCGACGGCACTGAGCGCGCCGCATTTAGCTATGCCCACCGCGATACCCGCCTAGTATCCGCCGCGCTCTGGGGTCGAGGACGGATAGCGGGTCAGAGTGCTGGCAATTCAGCAGTCGATCCAACAGTCATGCAAGAGCGGACACTGGAACCGTCCATGTCCAGGTCCTTCACACGTCTACTATTTAACCCGTCTCTAGCCTGTTTGGAAGCAAACGTTGAAATTGCAGACATGGCAAATCGAGCTCCGCGGCAGATATGAGAACGTATTAGCTGGTTGTGGGACGACTGGCTTTTCATCATGCGCCTTGTGCAATTTGTACAAGCTGGCGATTCAATTCTCTTCCCACATTGCCGATCTATTCCCTGTCGTGGCCCTTGACTATGTGATGGCTGTTTGCGAACACGTCCCGCTAGTCACGTGCCAGCGCTAAGACGAGCTTGAAGCTTGGAGCTACCATCCAAAAGTTACGTCGCGTTAGACATGACCAACAAAGTAACTACAAGCCCAACCACCGAGCGTACATTGAAGAGCACGCAACAGGACACTGCTACGACTGAAATTGCGCGACAGCCAAGACATGCCATCTCGTTCTCCATCTCCCGCACGCTCGCGCACGCGCAGCCCTTCTCGCGACCCGTCGCACACAACATCACCCAGCCGCCCTCGGTCGGCGCAGTCAGGCTCGCCGCGCCGCTCCGTCACCCCTCGCTCGCCTACACGGTCTCGTTCAATTACTCGATCGCGCTCGCCGACATCACCGTCTCCACGGCGCAATGGGCGACGGAGCTACACACCAGAAAGCAGATCGCGCTCGAGAGGTAGAAGTTATTCCCGGAGTTTGACTCCAAGAGATCGGTCGCCAGCACCTAGAAGCGCAAAGGTAAGCATACTCCCTGTGCTAGACGCAACTTTCAGAGCTGCCTTGCCTCAGCCTTCCTGCACCAGCACGCTGACCCACCAACAGATCGTAGTTGAAGCCTTGACCAGGAACGTCAAAGAAGACCACGTGCGCGAGATATTCGGAAAGTACGGTGTCATCAAGGAACTCACCATGCCCATGAACCCCACCTGTATGTTTCGCCCTACCTCCCCACAGAGCAGGACTGACTATTGAACAGTCAACATCAATCGCGGCATAGCCTACATTCTCTACGAGGAGATCGACGACGCCGAACGCGCAATCGCGAAGATGCACGACGCACAATTAGATGGAGCCAAGATCCAAGTTTCCATTGTCCTTCCCCGCCGTCGTTTCTCACAGACACCTCCGCCCGCGCGTAGAGGCCCGCCGCCACGCGACGACTACGAAGGTGGCTATGGGCGCGGTGGACGGGGACCGAGGGGCGGAGGCCCACCTGGCGCGTACAGGCCACCACCTATGGATGGCCGTTATCGATCTCCACCGCGTCGAATGTCGCCCGATCGAGGACACTGGGGTCGGGGCAGAGGCGGAGGCGGTCGTGGTGGACGAGGGGCCTACGGAGGACGGCCACGGTCGTACACACGTTCTCGCAGCCGGTCACCACGACGAAGCCTATCGCGCTCTTCTTACAGTCGCTCGCCATCCAGAACACCACCAAGACGAAGTGGGGGGGGAGGCTATGGCAGGCGGGACAGTCCACCAAGGAGGGGAGGTCGCGCGGGTGCAGGCGGCGGAAGGAGGAGTCCAAGCTATAGCTCCTATGGCAGCGACCGGAGTCGAAGCAGAGACCGCAGATGAGAGACGCAAGATTGTCTTCATTGTCGGCTGGAAAAGCCTAGAGGCATCCGCACAGTCAAGTAGGAGCTCGGTTGGACGATTCGGTTGGCCAGACCAATGGTATACATTAATTGAAATCGGTCGCAGACTCAGTTGGGCGAAGACCATCTTGCCTTGAAAGAAGTTTCCTACATGCCCACGCGTCTTCGCAATCAATCAGGTCATCTTCAACTGAAATCCTGCTCCCTTCTCTTCTTCCTCTCTGCCCTTGAAAATACTACTAAAATCCACGTTGCCCTGCATTCCGGGCGCCTCTCCTCTCTTTGGCGCATTCGGACTCTTCTTCCTTCTCCTCTCCTGCCCGGCCTTGCTTGGAAACGTGGGAAACATCTCGGTCGGTTTCGGCTTGGGTTGCTCTCTGAAGTAAGGATGCTCCAGTACTTCTTTCGCTGTAGGCCTATGGTCTGGATTCAGGGATAGCAACGAAGAGAGGAGTTCAATGCCAGACGCTGTCAAGAAGGGAAATTTTGCACGGTTGAAGCCTGGGGCGTTGCGGTGGTCGCGCGGTAGCTTTAGTGATTTGGAGTTGGGCAGGCGGTAGAATTGTGGCCAAGACTTCTCTGATGGGAGACCACAAAGGGAGAAGATGAGTGAGAGCTCGTCGACCTCGTTCTTGCCTTGTAGTAACGGCTCTTTTGCAAGCAGTTCGCCGAATATACAGCCTACGCTCCACATGTCGACTTCCGTCCCGTAATCTCGAGTCCCTAGTAGAAGTTCAGGCGCACGATACCATAGCGTGACGACCAGTTGTGTGAGGGGTGCGTTCGCCGGCGGGATGTATCGTGCCATACCAAAGTCTGCAAGCTTCAGCTGGCCACGGTTGTTGAGTAGGATGTTTGATGTCTTGAGATCGCGGTGCATGATGAAGTTCTCATGCAGATAGCCGACGCCAGAGACCAACTGTCGTAACAATGTCTTGACTTCACTTGCCATGAATGGCTCACTCATGTCTTCTTGTAATGTCTTGAGGTCATGTTCGAGGAAGTCCATGACCAGGATACATTCTTGCGGGTCGTCACCAGATAGAACCTCCAGAAGATCGACGACATTGGCATGTCTGCAGCGTTGCAGGATGGAGATTTCTCGTAGCGCGGTGATAGGGAAACCGTCTTGGTTGTAGTCCATTTTGACTTTCTTATGGGCGACCACGGAGCCTGTAGTGATGTCGCGCGCTCGTGAGACCCAGCCGTATGAGCCTTCTTCGATCTGATTGAGGGTCTCGAAGTTGGAAATATGTCGACAAGGGTTCCAAGCTCCGCCTTGAAATCGCAGGAGCTTCCTCTCGGTCTCTTCTTCTTTGGGCTTTGCGGCTCCCTCGTCATCGTCGCCTGTTGATAATCTCCTGCGCTTTGCAGGTCTCGATTCCGCCTCTTGCGTTGTTCGTGAGGCTACTTCCGCCTCTTGATGTTTCTGAAGCTTCAGGCGTTTCTTCTCTTCTTTCTCTTTCTTCCGACGCGCTTCCTCGGCTTTGTCTGCTTCATCATTTGCCCATCGTGATGCCATAGCTCTTTCTCTTTCCTTTCTGACCAAGAGACCGACTTCCACTATTATATATGTGCAAAGGCGTGTATTGAGGTTAAGTTGGTTTGGTTTTCCCAGAAGGACCCGGTTGGTGTGTTTCCGTGTAGATGGCGCTGGTTGGACCGATAGCACGTGTGAATCGTTAAATGGTGGTCATAGCTTCGTTCACGTTGGCGTTCCGATCTAAACTTTCTGTAGTTCCGAACGCGCCAACGTCATGGAGCTTCGATAAACAAGACCGACATGAGGACCAAACCTCTGAACCTACTGCGGACAGCGACACAGTGTTGTCGATCGGTACCACGACAAACGTCGATCCGAATAACGAAATGTGCCTCCCGGTGGTCGTCGACTTCTGCCTCTACATCTTCCGACTCGGAACGACAATGGTCGACGCCGCTGGCGAAGACGCTGGCTGAAGCTATTACAGTATGAGTCCCCTTCCCAGTATGAAAGCAAGTCTAACATTAGCTTCAGACGACAGGTCCAATCTCGGTAGCGGCGTATATGCGACAATGCCTCACTCACCCCGATGGCGGTTACTACACAAGACAAACATCGACTGGGCAGGATCAATTTGGCACAAAGGGTGACTTTGTGACATCGCCAGAGATCAGCCAGGTATTTGGCGAGCTTATTGGTATATGGCTATACGCAGAGTGGCTTGCCCAAGGAAGGAAAGACAAGGTGCAGATAATCGAGGTTGGGCCCGGACGAGGAACGCTAATGGACGATGTACTGAGGGTATGGTGCTCTGCCAATAGTAGAGAATGCGAAGCATGCTTACAGGATGGCAGACCATATCTAGTTTCAAGGCTTTCACAAATAGCATCGAGGCTATTTATCTCATCGAAGCATCACCTTACCTACAGAAACAGCAAGCAAAGTTGCTGTCTGACACCGATGATCTGAAGAAGAGCGACATTGGTCTAACCGCACAATGCAAGTACATGCCTTCCTGCAGGATCGAGTGGTGCGAAGACATCAGGCTGGTGCCAAAAGGTACGCGCTCGACTCTACTCTCTTCATCAACAGCGTACTGACAACATACACAGAGCATACGGCAGCGCCTTTCATACTAGCCCACGAGTTCTTTGATGCACTTCCAATCCACGTCTTCCAGAATATCTCTCAATCTTCGGTGCCTGCCTCATCGACCATCATCACGCCAACCGGCCCTATCAAACCCAAGCACGGCGTGACAACCCCCAAGAATACCTGGCATGAGCTGGTTGTTTCGCCAACTTCGCCGTACTCGGATATGGGCGCAAGTGGCTCTTCGCCAAAGAAAGGGGATGAAAAATTGGACTTCGAATTGACCGTTTCGAAGACACCGACGCCACACTCCTTATACCTGCCGAAGTTGTCTGATCGCTACAAGAAGCTAGAGAATACTGCAGATGCGATCATCGAGATCTCGCCTGAATCTTTTGCCTACGTATCTGACTTCGCTGTACGGATAGGCGGCAGCGCTCCTAAGCCTAGCAACACCTCAGCATCCCATACTCCCTCGAGCAGAAGTGCTCCTGTTGAGGAAAGCTTCGTAAAAGCGCAGCCGTCTGGTGCAGCTTTGATCTTGGATTATGGACCTTTGGATACTATCCCAGCGAACACTCTCCGGGGCATTCGCTCACATACCACTGTCTCGCCTTTTGCATCGCCCGGTCTGGTAGATCTCTCGGCTGATGTGGACTTTCTCGCCCTTGCAGATGCAGCTTTAGATGCTTCTCCGGGTGTTGAGGTTCACGGACCCGTTGAACAGTCTTTCTTTTTATCGACAATGGGCATTAAGGAGCGCGCTGATCGCTTACTTAAGGCTGCTAAGGATGAAGATACGCGAAGACGCTTGGAAACAGGCTGGAAGCGACTTGTCGATAGAGGGCCAAACGGCATGGGTAAAACCTACAAAGCTATGGCTATCGTGCCCTATAAGAAGCAAGGCCCAGTCCGACGGCCGATCGGGTTTGGCGGAGACATAGTTGGCTGAACAATATGATAGCTACCAAATCAACAGTTTTAGCCTTGGACATTAGGTGATGGGCGTCTGATGACTAAATACGATGTGTATTCCCATACTGCGTGCCGCAGTTGATTGCATCCGATTGATCGATCGAATTTCTTCAATGTTACCTCCACTCGACTGGCTCTCACGATGGAATGATACTTTGCATAGCCATCCTACCATGATTGATGCGCGATACTTCCATCACCGGTACCCTACGTAAGAGAAAGACCATCCTATGGGTACACTCATCTTGCAAGGAAGTCTTGGTGTCTTTGAAGGACAGCATCGAGGAGAGGATTCCTTCTGATCGTAGAAGGAAAGAACAACGTCACGGATGAATGGACGAGTGCTCTGCACATCAATGATGTTAAGACAATTTACTCCTGAAAACTCAAAAAAAAATAGAGTTTAAATCGTATAAGGGGGCATAGAAAGGGAAGAATCTACATACAAAACATACTAATAAAAATCGTTAGAACACACACTGGCATCGCTAGCCCTCCGACGTCTTCCCTTGCCCAGTATCATACCCACATGCAGTGCACATCCCTGAGGCACCTCGTCGTCTTCAGGCTCACCCCGCTCCCAGTCCTCAATCTCATCTTCAGCAAGTTCTTCATCGATCACGTCGAAACGCGCAGAATTGAATCCTGCGTCCCCGAAAGCAGAATACATAGACTGGCGCTGCGGCTTCGGGAAGACAGAAGCGTTGTCATCCTCATATTCCGCGAACGGTTCGGGGTCAGGATGGCTAGATAGAAGCTGTCTGTACTTCTCCACGCGCTCTTCTTGCGTCTCAATGTGGTCATAGATCGGGTTGTCGAGAGGATCTATGTATCCCGTGCGAGAGGATGGGCCGCCGGTGTAAGACGCGATCGTGTGCGCTGTGGTTGCGAGTGATCGGCGGGAGATCATTGAAGCGGGAGGATTGAGGCAAGAGTTCTCCTGCCTAGTAGAACCCGCGACTGACGGTTGTGGCACAGGCCTGCGTCTGATCTGTAATGGAGCTGGACGGTCGTCCGAATTGTGGTGCCGAGGAAGGCGAACGGTAGGGAGGCTCATGGTATCATCAGGCGTGATAGTCCTTTCTGGATTATGCGAAGCCATTGACTCGTTGTAATGCCTTGACGCGTTTGTCGATGAGCGAGAAGGTATGAGTCCAGGCTGGTTTCGCAAAGCCGGATGGACATCTTCTTGGTTGTGAGGAATAGTGTATACCCGCTTACGCATACCGGGTATCTCAAAACCAAGATCCTCGGCCTGTGACTTGAGCTTAGTGTCTGGAGGCCGGGGATTAGGACCCAGTTTGGGGTCGAACAGGCTCGGAGCTGTTAGTTCTTGTTCTCGCCGCCGTCTTACAGTTCTGGTCGAGGCAGAACGGCTAAAAGTGCGCTGATGAGCAGAGACGGTAGATGAACCTAAACTTTGACAGGGCATCGGACCGACGGGAGTTTTCTGCGTTCTCGTGCGGCTATGTGCACGAAGGTGGCGGTGTTGCTCATGCTTCCACTGAGCCCGAAGATGTTTGAGATCCATGCCCAGATCGCATGCTCTTAACATATTGCTTTCTCCACTCGCCTTCCTGACCCAGTAACGCACGAATCGAAGACGTTTGCTCTTAGTGCTGTCCCAGCCAGCAACGCTACGGATCGCATCCATTGTCGTGAACGCCTTGCTGTTGAAGCGACCGACCATACCGGCGAACAGAGCAAAAAGAACATCCGAATCTGATCCCATCCGCGCCATCATACAAGCCGGGCATTGGTCTGCCTGATAGTGCCACTTCGATCCGCACTGAATCGGCTCATGACCAGGGGGAGCGGAAGCACACGAACTAAAGTTGGGTTGCCACATCCGTAGCACAGGTTCTAGTTGACGGACTTTCAACTTCTGATCCGTCGTTAGAAGGCCGTGGGTCATTACAAGTGGATAGAGAAACTTGCCGATGGCGCCATCGTATTCGTGACGGATCCATTTGAAGATGTCATTGACAAGATTTTGGTTTAGGCCCTTGTGTGTCGTACACAGGTTCGTTGAGCCGAAAGAGAGCCGCGAAGCGCGTAGCCGGCTAGGAAGCCGTTGTATAGCTTCCTTGGTATGTTTACGATATAGCGCTTCCTTGCGCTCATCGCGCAAATCATTGGGAGTAGGGACATGCCGAAAAATACGGACAAGTCTCTTCATGTCGCTGTTGTGGAGCCGGCGAGTCTCCATCCTGTGTAGGAATGAAGGCATCGTGAAATGTTGTGAGATGTCTTTGTGGTTGTAATGCATTGTGGGTGCCTTGTGATAATGGTTGTGTTTGGTCTGTTGTAAACATGGAGGAATGTGGAGAGGTTAAGAACACGCACGGGACGTTTGCAATGAGACAGAGTGGTTTCATGATGCAGCGTATATTGCGAGTGATAGGGCGCGGCTGTGTAGTCTGTGAAAGTTATCAGTGTGTATATATCATAGGACAAGCGAAAGAGGAAGAAACAACTCGAACTCAATAAAGTATCAGTAGAGATACCTGCTCATATGACCTGTGGGAGTGAAAGACAGTATCGGTGAGACACTCATCAGTAAAGCAGCTAAGGCTGATTGGCACCAACGATCGAAACAGCGCAACGTGAAAAGCCGTCGCTAACAAGCGAAGGTTGTAGTATTTTGAATGGGAACTCAAATTCGATGTAATCCAACCGTCCAGCAAACGCCGTCCCAGAATCGTACAGTCCGTGAATGAATGACGACAAGATACAGGCCGTATTTCAGAAATAGCAGGAGAATATGCACCAGTGATGCAATGCAGCGGATGTGATAGAACCGTCCGGAAGTTGTACACCCGAGACTATACATTACCTGCTGCAACAGCATGATGTTTGTTTACACATAAAAAAAAAGTACAGATTAATGTGAGCTTTCCAACCCCAGAACATTGGCTCTCCTGCCGTGCAGGTTTTGATTGACCTTGTTGGTCAAATCTTTGAAATTTGTGCCAGCCGTTGATGAGATGCTGCTAGCCTTCTTGCGCGAGATGCGAGGTGTCGATGCGCCTTGTGGCACTACACCCTCGTCCTGTGTCAGGCCCGAGGCTGCCGCGGTCGACATGGGTACTGCAGTAGCTTCGTTCTCTTTTTCTTGGTCGACCTTCTGCTGTGCTGTAAGACGAGCACGCTCATATTTGGCAGTCACATCGCCTTTGTACATTGTCCCGCCAAGTCGGTCGAGGTATACGAAGAAAGGTTGCGAAAAGTTGGTCTTGATACCCCAGCTCTGGTGATGAATGTCGTGGTAAGCGGCATTGTTGGGGAAGATCCAGTGGATAGGGTCGTAGGGGAATGCGTAACCGCCGTGATCAAGCACTGTCTTGATGGTAGAGCCAGTGAAGAACCACATCGACTGTCGCATTGTCATGCCGGTAAGCAGATAGCTCAAGCCAGCACCCAGGGTATCGAGCGCGAACCCTTCGATCGGGTGGTTGTACAGAGCGCCGTAGGCATATGGCACATAGAGACGGTGATGCCGCGAATGGAACGTTACTGCGTGGGTTAACAAAAGTCGAAGAGCATGACACGGGTTGGAACTTACCATATAACCATCTGTTCAGGTGCATGGCACGGTGCAGCATGTACTCCCACGCGTCCATGATAACTATGGCAGCACTGAACTGGATGGCAGGTATGGCATACCAGTACGCAAAGCTAGCCACGGCCATCTCCCAAGAAGCAAAGGCGGGGACGAGAGTCTGCTCGCCCGCAACTGTCGCTGTCTGCAGCAGCGCGGGGTATTTGCCTCCGATGACAACGGAAGAAAGTATCGGCTGTGAGGTAGCGACCTTGGAAGCCAGCGCGATCGGGTTGACGCCTACCGCAGACAAGACGTAAGGAACCGCGCGCTGGGCAAGTCTGAGCTTCTGCGCGTACCAAGCCACATCGTACTCGGCTTTGCCGGTTGTCGGCGCCTCGTCGATTAAAGAAAGGCTGAAGGATGCGAGAATCTGAATGACTTGCTGGAGTATGACGTCGCGCAGCACTTCGTAGCGTGAAACATGGTTGCGCTTCAGAACCTCTGCTGGCGTGTGCAGCCGATACTGCGGGAAGAAGTCGTACACGTCAATGACGTGGAAAACCAGGGAGACAACCCAGTATCCGACTACAGGCAGTGCGGCTTGTATGAATGCATCGGAGACCCACGATGTGAGAGGCTGAAGGGGCTTGAGGGTGTATTCGGGAAGCGGCGGGAGGTCGTAGGACGTGATGTTTGCGCTCGCCATGGTGCGGCAGCGGTGCGCTAGGAGAGCGGATTATCGATTACAACTGTATGTATGCGAGACTGAGGAGTTGCGCAGCGCAGCCGGCGAAGACGTCGAAGGTGCAGCGTACTCGAGGCGAGATCGCGGTGCTGGGCCAGCTATGGGGTGACAAAGACGGAGCCGGAAGCCGCGGACCAAGGAAATTAGGGAGAAGGCGCGATGCGACGGACGACTGATGTCGGTATTCGTGCTGGAGGCCGGATGGCGCGCAATTGACCAGTCGAGCTCAGAAAGGAGAGGCTGAGGTGGGCGGAGCGAGGGTTGGGTGAAAGTCGTGTGAGAGTGGTGCAGCAGCGTGCCTGTGACAGCACCAAGGCATGACGGGGGTTTACGATATACGCGCGCATCATGACATTTCGCCGCCGGGCGCCCGGGCGGGCCTAGTCGCTCAGCCACTTCCACTTCCACCCGTTGCGGTTAGCGCGCTTTTCACACCCAATTTTCGACCCCACCAATTTCTCCTTCACGCCTACAGGCCAGCGCTTCTTTTCCGCTCCAGTCTTCAACCCCTCGCCTGCCCGCCCCGACCAACGTACACTCTTTCCACACATCCCCAGACCCTACTTCCCTCTACCGCCAACATGATCATTTTCAAGGTACGTTGTGCCTGCGCTGGGTCGCTCTTGCCTGCGCCCTACCCCGCCTTCCCTGCTGCGCTTGATGCTGCTTTGCGCATACAAAGAGCCTCTTGTCTTCTCTTCTACTAGTCGCGTAGTACTGACATCTGCCAGGACATCATCACCGGTGACGAGATCATCTCCGACTCCTACAACCTCAAGGAGATCGACGGCGTCGCCTACGAGGCCGACTGCACCAAGATCACTGTCGGAGGAGAATCATTCGGTGGGTACTGCCAAACGAGATGAAGATCTGGCAGGCTAACGACGTGTAGACACTGGTGCCAATGCTTCCGCTGAGGAGCAAGAGGAGGGAGCCGACGATCAGAAGGAGACCAAGATCGACGTCGTCTACTCTTTCCGCCTGAACGAGACCGGCTTCGACAAGAAGGGCTACCTCACATACCTCAAGGGTAAGAACGCTAGGGCAAAATCTTCCAGACCCAGGACTAACGATAGACAGGTTACATGAAGTCAGTCAAGGAGGCCCTCAAGAACAAGGGCGCCGACGAGGCTACAATCAAGGACTTTGAGAGCAAGGCCTCCGGTTTCGCCAAGAAGATCATCGGCAACTTCAAGGACTACGAGTTCTACACTGGCGAGTCCATGAACCCCGACGGTATGATCGTCCTCCTCAACTACCGCGAGGACGGTGTCACACCCTACGTTACCGTCTGGAAGCACGGTCTCGAGGAGATGAAGGTCTAAGTCCAAGAGGACTTGGCTATGGGAAAGACGAGGCTTGGTTCACGGTTCATTGAATTCACGATTACCTATTGCATGTTTGGGAAATATCCGCCATAGTGCGAAAAGCGGAATGGCACAAATCTAGACGATCTTAAGGAGCCGTACACGATACAGCATATTATTCTCTATCCATGCTACACCCTGCCACGTCCGCGATTACTCTAACACTTGTGATGGGGCTTCGTGGAGGCGACTATACATGCTGAAATGTTGAGTATCAAGCAAGTCTCGCGGCGATGTCAGAATCAGTATCGGACTATATCCAGGGCTGGCACTTAAAATTCCGCCTAACTCAGCTTGGTGAAACATCTCATCGCGTGACCACGCGATACCGCGTACGTGCACAGACCACAGGTTTCATCACCTAGCAACAGCGGCCTCAGGCACACATTCAGCAATCCTCAGCCTTCCGCGACTCACCCCACTATATCGTTACGTCCTGAAACCATTCATTCTCCTTCTTTGTCGCCGCGCTCCCGCTAGTTTCTCTGTCGCATGAAGTCCAAGGTACAGAGGAACATTGTTGCCCCGCGTCATGATGGGTAACGGTGGTCCCGCCGTTTCGCTACCGGCAACTCCGCAGCATCTCCGCCCTGGAGCGGCCCTAGACGACCAGATTCGATCATTGGAAGAAGAATGGAGACTTGGTCTCAAGATCCGTGGCGCTGAGTGGTCACCAAAACGATCAAATACAGATGACACTGCCGATAAGATCTATGCGCTTGTCAAGTTCCTGTTCTACAGAGCTCCAACCGCCCTCAAGCAGGCAATTGGAGAGTTCAGAGCTGCTGCTCCAGGCTCACGGCACCAAGACCGCTTAGCGTTACTTCGTCGGATTCTGTCCAGCACAAAAGAGAGTGAATTGGCCACGCGGGGTAGGACGCCGAGAAACGAACCGCCTAAGAGCCTAGCGGCATCCTTTAGTGGTGAGCACAGATTTGCTTTTTACAATTTTAGTTGCGCTTCTATCGCTTCTTCCCGGGCGTTCTGCGATAGCTAATCAGAACACAGGAGCAAAGCCTGCCCAGCAATCAACGAGTCGATCGTCTGACGTTCATCAAGATGAGCGTAATTCATATGCGACTGCTGTTGACCCGGGATCACCGACAGATGTTGATACCGATGATGAGACGGATCAAAGATACGAAACACCACTGTCGCCGTCAAGATCGCCATCACCGTCTGTTAGGTCGGCCCAGACGCTCTTACAGGCAAGTAGCCATGCCTCTTTACATGCCTCCAAGAAAAGGCCTTCTGAAAGCTCCATTCATTCCGAGAAATCGCAGAAGTTGACCAAGATCTCAAAGGGGAAACAGGCTGTCAAGTCTTACAAGTCCTCGCCTATCCCACCACCGCATTTCAAGGTCCCAACGCTCGATATGGCTCGCTCCATACAAGTCTTGAATTCCGTCCCATCTTCGGTCAATACATCCTTCAACAACACTACGTTCTCTTCCCAAGAGACAGCGAATACCACAAACACCTCGTTCACCTCGTACGATGGCATCAACGAGTTATATGGAAGTAGTATCTCTAAGCCTCAACTTAAAAGGACGAGCTCGACTACACTGGGCTCCCTGGATGATCACGAACTGTATCAAGCCATTTCTCGTTCAAGGAGCGAAGTATCCGAGCAGGAAATTCAGCAAGACCTGAATGAAGACTTCTCGCAAAGAAGCAGCGGTCAGAGTAGGTATACTTCTGGATCTATGGACGACAACGATCTTCTCGAAGCATCTTTCGAGGTTGAAGAGAAGGAGGCCAAACTGCGAGTGATTCCAGATGGAAAGATGGAGAGTTCTAAAGCGCCTGCCCTTGTTGAAAATCACCATGAGCATTTGCGCGCATCTGCAACGATACTATTTCCGTCCAACGGAGGTGCAGACGATCAAGAGACAGCGTTGATTACTAGTGTGTCTCCCTCGAAGATGACACACGAAATACGCAATCTACCCAAACAGAATCTCTTTCTGGACACGCTTCCCGGGGCGCTCGAATTTATGCCCTACTTTCTCTTGTTCATCTGTCTACGCCTAGCAACAACAAACTCCCTCGCAATACAAGAAGTAGTACGTGGTATGGACGTATCTACCGTATCCGCCGACCCCGAAGCCTTTTGGTCCTTCATCGAGAAACACGACAAGATAGCCCACGTGAAGCTGCGCGAGCATGGGCGCCTCTGGCAAGCAGCGAAGCGCAACTTTGATGGTTATACTTTCAAAGGGCATATGACTTTCAGCCTCAAAGACACCGGACCGATTATATACACCACTCTGTTGCCGATACAAGCAGATAAATCATGTCGACTTCAGCGAATGTTTGGGTCAGACCGATTCCTCTACTTGAACACTCCCGTCTTCAACTCTTCCAAAACGAATCGTTTCAACGCTGATCAGGTGCAACAAATTCGAAGTCAATGGCAAGCATGGCTCCTCAAGGAACACTCCTTTTCAGGTCGTAAATGGAGAGTCTTTTACGTTGGGGAGCTGAAGAGAGGCAAAACCATCCGCCACAAGGAATCGATTCACGATAAAAGGATTGTGCTATTCGCCACGGAAGGTTGCGGAATTGACCGACCCTACTCTGTGGGTCAAATGCTCCATCGATTCATGGCGTTCGAAACCAACGGCAATCAACGTGTGTGCAAACTGTTTGTTCGTATCGAACTCGGGCTTTCACGAACTGTACCCACGCTGTGCTTTGAGGTGTCGCAGATGAGACACGTGGCCGATGACCTTGCGACAAATCATCCGGAAGATACTCGCTTCAACGATCCTACTTTAGAATGGGAGGGGTTTCCAGATGACGCGGTCATGAATGACGGATGCTCGGTCATGTCTGTGGGTGCTGCACTGGCTATATGGCAACTTTACAAGAAAGCCACAGGGGTGACTGGTCCCTTGCCGAGTGCATTTCAGGGACGTATCGGCGGAGCTAAGGGTCTCTGGATGATCAGCGCAGAGTCGTTCACTAAGGATCCTGATCATTTGAAGCACTGGATCACGATTACCGGAAGCCAGTGGAAATTTAATCCACCTACGGACGAATCAGTGCATCATCACCGCACGTTCGAGTTATCAGATTACAGCTCTGCACCGTCACCATCGGAGCTGCACATATCGTTCATTCCCATTCTGATCGATCGTGGTGTATCGAGAGAGATTGTAGCTGATCTTATGAAGGAGCGTTTGGATGCAGAGCGTAAGAAGCTGTTGGAGTTGCTCCCTGATCCTGTCAAGACGTACGATTGGGTTCACCGACACGGGGCGAAAACGCTAACTGAAGCAACTTGGCAAGCTGCACTACCGGGATCTCTTGAGGACAAGCTGAAGTTTCTACTCGAGTCAGGATTTTTGCCTACCAAATTCCCATACCTCGCCAAGACTCTCGAGCGCTTTATACAGACAAAGCAAATCTTTCAGGAGTCCAAGCTGCGTGTACCCCTTGCAAAGTCGGCATATCTCTTTGGGGTGGCAGATCCGTTCGGTGTGCTGGAGCCGGGAGAGATTCAGGTACAGTTCTCTTCTTCCTTCATCGACGAGAATACGGACGAAAAGTACCTTTGCCTGAGGAGTGTAGAAGCACTTGTCGCCCGCCAACCCACCTGTCGCCGCTCGGATATCCAAAAAGTACGCACGGTCGTACGTCCTGAGCTATCGCATCTGGTAGATGTGGTAGTCTTTCCCTGCAAAGGGCAGTACCCGCTAGCCGGAAAGCTGCAAGGAGGCGACTACGATGGCGATAAATTCTGGGTCTGCTGGGAACCCAAACTTGTGCAGCCTTTCTTGAATGCTCCAGCGCCAGTAAATCCCCTAGATCCTGAGCAGTACGGTATAGAGACAAGAACAGAGCGACTTCGGGATATCATGAACACTCGCCAACTCAAAAAAGTGGACAATTTTCTCCGCGCAGCCTTCGAATTTCGCAATAACCCTTCTCTACTTGGAATTGTCACTGTCTTTGCGGAGAAACAAGCATATACAGAGAATTGCATCCATTCTCAAACGCTTGAACATCTGTACAATATGCATGACTTGCTAGTGGATGGAGCAAAACAGGGCTATGTGTTCAAGCAGGCGACGTTCTTTCGGTGGGTACGCGACCTGACAAAACGACAGAAGGAGCCAGCTTACAAGACTGCGATGGAAAGTTGCGCCACTGCCAGGGATTCTACAGAAGTTGAGAAATTACGGAAACAGAGGTATCGATACAACCCGGACCATGCTATCGACTACATCTATTTCGATATTGTGAGAGCACACAACATGGAGACGATGACGCAGGTCAAATACTTCTTCTCACAGCCTACTGAGCTAGATGACGTGCTACTTTATCCCAGCCAACGCCTCACAAAAACAATGTCGAACACGGTCAAGCAAGAATTCATGTCTTTGACCACCAAGTTGGAAGACGTCAATCATACCTGGAATACTGGCTGTCATCGTGATGTGATCACAGCGGAGCAGTTCAAAACGGTCGTGGATAATTGCTATGAAAAGTACCGCGCTATACGGCCCGACAATCCTGGCCATCCTGAAGTTTCTAGATGGCTGGAAGAGTACCTTGTTCCTGGATCATGTCCATGGGATTTCATCAAAGCATCGGCATTGTATAAGAAGTTCGACTGGCCGGGAAAATCCACTTTTGTTCTCACAATGGCAGGCCGGGAACTCGCGCGTCTAAAGGCCGATAGCTCTGACAACACCAGGGCGATAGTCACATCTATCCGCGCCATCATGAGGCCGAAACCTATCAAAACGCCGATCCAGTACGATGAGGAAGACGAGGAAGACGATTTTGAGAGTGCATTCGAGGAGCCCATCTTGTAACGGTCTTCAACAATCACGAAGCACGGATTAGCTTCACTCGTTGGGGGCAGTCATCTCAAACGCTATGCTTTCGCACCATTGGCGTATCAAGTTACCATCAACCTTTGAGCGCCTAGAAGCTGTTTGACTAAGATGCTTATTGGGCCCTAAGCTATCTGGTCGTTGATTTCGACTTCAGCTTTTACACCATTTGCGCATAGCAACGTCACAGATCTTCATGTACACACCAGATGCATGTTTCATCTACGGATCACGGTACCAGAGCCACCGCCGGTTACTAGGTACTGGACACCTCATTGCGCCACCAACCATTGTATAGTGCAACTTCATCTTCAATCTGGAGTTAGTCCAGGAGTCTCACTGAGCCATTCATAGCCACATCTTTTTAGATGGTGGCACAAACATAATAGGAGGTTGAGGAGGACGAAGAAAGGAAGGAAGGAAAACGAAGACATTCTGGTTGAGAGTCAGAAGAGATGTATAGAGGGGGTTAGAAGATGGAAGTGGAGGTATAATTCGGGGTCTGCTCCATGTCACTCATTTGTCTCTCTTCCAATGATCGTAGCTCCAAGCCAGTTCATTGTGATTTCGCTCCTTGCTCACAATTCGGTGCTTTTTGTACTCTTCTACTCGATCGTCATATGCATAGCTCTAAATGATATAGACCTACACGTGATGAATATGCAGAAGCGCACGCATCAACCAGTGCTTGTCGCTTTGAGCAATAATTGGGTATCTTTAAAAACATCCACGACTCTCCAGTACATCTTTAGCACACGGCTCACCCCATCGTAGGAGCAGCTGCTGCAGCCTTGGTCTTCAGATTCCTCCTCTCTTCTTCTCTCCGCGCTTCCACACCAGCCAAAAACTCCATACGACCCAGATAGGCTTCCTTGGTCTTTCCATGTGTATCCAATTCCTCTGCGATGCCCTCTTTGTCCACGAAGCCTGTCCAGTCCATGCGCGATTTGTCCACGACATTGAGCTTCTGCGCCTTCTCGACCTTCTTCGCGACCGATATGTCTGTTTCTGGCGGAATTTCCTGCTCGCGTTGTAGATCGGCAGCGGCGGCACGGGGCCAGAAAAGTTGGTGTTCGGGTGCGAGGGCGCGGACGTAGCCTGTAGGGTTGGGGTCGAATCGGGATGGACGGCGGAGGGGGCGACGGATCTTGGGTCCACTAGACTCGGAGGGATCTTTGGGGGACTCTGTCGTGGGTATTGTTGCTGCGGACGCATCGAGTGTCTTCCATCCATCTTTGAGGTATTTGTCGAGCTGCGAGCGTGGAACTTGCTTCTCCTCGGTCGTGTCCTGCCCAGCGAAGGTGAAGACTTTCTTGATCGTGAGCTGTTCTTCCTCTTCCGCTGATACTGGGATGTTGGCTACGGGTACGTGATTTTGTTGTGCAGCTGATTCATGTGATGCTGTGGAATCCAAAGGCTTCAGAGGCGCTGCTGTCATTTGGGCCCATAGCGCATCGACATCTACAGTTGCGCCCTCGGTCCTTGCAAGCGGTCTCCGTTCTTTTCCCTCAATCCTCCGTTGCGCCCGTGTTTTGACAAGTCCACCCTCCCCGCCTTCATCATCTGATATGATCAGCTCGTCTGCATCATCGTTGCCGCCTTTCTTCCCCTTCTTCTTCGCCCGCTTCTTCCGCGCAGCTTGTATTGTCACTTCGTCTCCAGAATCAAGGTCTTCGTCGGCGGGCGCTTTCCGCTTGCCCTTGCGCTGTGTGGGTTCTATCGTGACATGGTCTTCGTCTTCGGAACTGGATGCCTCTTCGGGAGGCGCGGCTTCGGGGTTGAAGTCCTCATCGGACGACTCGTGGTACTTCTCGTCGACGTTCTCGAGGTCTTCGTCGCCATAAGTGTGTGGCATGGTAAAGTGGGTATTGAGTCGGAGGCCTGGGATCGCGTCGCGCAAGCCAAAACGAAGATGCGCCAGATCGACGGCCAAGGCCAATGGGGTCTAGCGTGGCGCAAGGGCGAGCTCCAGACATCTGGAAGTTCATACGTCAGTGACGTGGGCGGGGAGGCAGGCGCGTTCCAGATCAAAACAAGCGAGGCATGCCTCCAGCTGGGCTGGCTTGCTTCTGTCTCCTAACCTCACCGTTGCTGTCGCGTAATGCGCGTTTGACTCTATCACTGATCGCATCACCCAGCCAACATCATGGCGCCAGTCGATACAGTCGCATCTACGCGGAGTAACTCACTCCCCATCGCCATCTTCGGGGGCCAAGTGCTCCTCGTTACAGTACTCACAGCTCGTGTACTTCTCACTACTCGACGCGCCGCCAAATCTCAGCCACCATCAACGCGCACGCGCTCACAAGACTCGGCTCGCCGCCGCCATGCCGTCACCTTCTCCATCATTGCGCTTCTCTCACTACTCTCCGTCGGCAGCTTTGCCTTCCTCTGGCGCGCTATCTCCTACGTGCGATGGGCTGGAGAGAATACACATGACATTCCAGGTAGTCTCTGGAGTGGCTGGTATGGCACTGGCGAGGAAGGGAGATGGTATCTAGCCGACTGGATCGCGGACATCGATCTCGTGCGCGAGTTTGACAAAGTTGGAATAATGAAACCGGAGGGGTTTCTGTATACTAGCCAGTATTTCGTTGGACTGATCGCAAGCTCCATATTCATGGGCGCTGAAGGTATGTGCAATGCCATCGACGCAGGTTCTCCAAGTCCCTCACTGACTGGTCATCTTTAGGCCGCAGGCGCAATCTTTCCAACACAACCATTGCGTCGTTCGTACTACTGAGCTCTATTGGAAGCTTAGGGTACTCTTTGAGCTTGTTCTTCATCACCATCTTGTATACGCCTTTGACCATACACCACGATGATACCCCGTTACACGACGCGCTGTTCACACCATATGCTTTCGTATACGACACTGGCATCGTTGCGTCGCTCATTACTCTGAATCTCTTTCCACAACTAGTCTCCGAGTTCGGCGACAAGAGCATGATGCGACTCGGATACCTGGCCATGCCACTTGCCTTTGCATTTGCGCCACAGTTGGTTCCCTACGCACTGGGTCATCAGCATACGTCTAAAGCAGCGGCTCATAGATCATACGTCAAAGTCTTCCACGCGCTATCAATTGCCTCTATCCTCGTATACTGGCGTGTGTGGACTACTCTGGTGTACGTCAACAGACCTGCCCAGCGCTCCCACGTTTGGGATCTCTTCGCGAATTCTATTGCCAAGAGCGATTCGGCGAATGCAAACAGGCTTCTCGCAAGTATCAGCAACGCGGGCCAAGCTCTCAAGCACATCAGCATGCACCCGGCTATCAGTGTCACCAGCCTCGACGTCCTCTTTGCTGCCATCAGCTTGCTGACGTGGACTTTCACGCGCGATCTAGATGTGCATGCGATCCTAGAAAGCAGCATACTTTCTTTTCTCGTTCCCACCCATGAGAAACACGTCACATTCAAGCAAGACCTGGCAAGAGTGATGGAGCATGCGAGCGAGCCCTCGTCCCCAATAGAGCCTCTTACGCCGAGGAAGCCTGGGCGCCCGGCAAAGAAGGCTGACGTAAATGGTACATCCACTTCCGCATCCACGAGTGCGTCTCTCAGACGCAGCACACGAGGGAAAGCGCGCACTTCAGATGTGGATTCTGACGCAGGCTCATTTGCTGGTGACCCTGATGCTACATACCAACCAACAGAGCAGACCAAGCGCGCTATACAGGGAATGGAGTCAGACGGCTCCGCGCCTGAGGGCGATCTAGTTCACGCGGGAGAGTCGACTGCACTAGCTATGTTTCTTGTCTTCTTCGGTGGACTGGGTCAATTAGCTGCGGGTACACTGGGTGCCGAGGTGACAGGACCGCGAGACTGAGGCGGTTGAGTGTATTGTACTTCAGATCGCCCGAGTAACGAACGGGAATTATTTTCTTATTGGAAACCTGAAGAGTACGCAATCTATGAGCTGTTTAGGGTAGGCGTACAGGGCCTTTGGTGTACGGGAACAAGGATGGATGGGAATAGCGGCTTTGGCTTTTGATTTTGGATACCCCGGGTGCGCCGGAGCGTCGGGTCGTTTTGATATTGCTTTTTTGGAATACAGTGTTTGCAGGGATATAATGTACATTTTGTGCGAAGTCATCAAGTTGACGAGCAGAGTGACGATAACGCGCATGTTGACATGTCCTACTGACTGGACTCCTACACGTGTGCGACGTCCATCTGACAGTAAAGGGGCACACAGCGCTGTATCAATGACGTTCGGAAATAGTCTCTGCTACGCTGTGTAACCTTGCTGCCGCGGATAACAAATCCTTGTCCCCCATGCGGCGTTGATATCGTCAGCTTGACTCAGGTAAGGTTGGGCTGACGGAGGTTGACTTCGGCACAACACTAATCGGGTAACTGTCCCAAGCCACAAAATACCAAGGCGTTCGCTCTTCATCGAAGTTGGGCTGGTGTTGGAGAGCTGGGACGAGGACAGAATGGTGGTGCCTGAAGATCTTCCCTTGTTACCGTAAGCGAACGTGGCCTGCACGCGACCAACCGCCTCCTCACAATGACACTCTCCGTCTTCTACGACGGTTCCAGATGCTTCAGCGTCGTGCCACTGCGGCTATTTATCAGCAGCACTGACTTGTCTCCGACCCGGCCTCGAAACGTGTTACAGTGACGCTCTGGTGCCCGACGACTGGGCGCGCGCGGAGAGCCATCCTTGCCGACCCGGCTTCTTCGGCTGCTGGCTGCCAACAGAGAGTGGTTGCGAGTAGTGAAATTGCAGGGCGGGCATCCTGTCAGAGGGCAATCCAAGCATTCCTGGAAGAGTTGTAGTACTCCCGAGCGTTTGGCTGAAGGCGTGATTCGGGTTGGGCGTCGGCTCATCAGCAAGGACAGCGGTTCTGGGGCAGTGGCAGGCTCGGGCCTAAAGACTATCACCACCGTGCGCAACGCAAAGACGCTACACTACCACTGAACAACCATGGAGGTAAGCCCAGATTCCTTCTTTTACTCCTTTGCTTTCCC